TATAGTTTTCGAGAAGTTAGGTAATTTACCGAATGAAACAGAGGATATTTCGGTCATTTGGAAATTCTTCAGGTGTTCCAGAAATAATGATAATAGCTGTAATGCCACTTTGCTCCGGCCCATCCCTGACCCAAATATATTCCATTTTTTTGATCGGGTACCATCACTAAGGAGACCTTTCTCATAGATTCTTGTATAGTATTACACATTATCCGGCAGGTACTATGTAAACACTGACGAGAATTTCACATTATTACCGCAGTTTTTATTAAAATCATGTGACAAATGGACATAAAAACCTACGGCATAATATGAGTGTCGTTAAAATAAAACCCGAAAATTTAAATTTAAGTCATATGTAAATTTTCGGGTTTTCTTTTAGCGACACTCATATGATAATTTTTCTGTAAGTGTACACTAAATAACAAGTATCCCCAGTTTAGAACAAGACTGTGAGTAACTATAGGCAGCTCTATACGGGGTTTATTTAAAGTTCAAATGTATATATTAACCATCAAATAAAAATAGAAGAGAAAAAGTAAGTTGGTACTAAGACACAAGCGTCTAAATTATAGTGTTCTCTACTAAACTAAACTAAACTAAACTAAACTAGATTTTTAATATTTACACTATAGTATAAAATATCATGATAAAGTCAAAGTAAAATTCTACTCAATTTAAATCATTGAATCCCCACGATTTTTTATAACTAATTTATCATTAAAATTCATTGTATTAAAATTATTGTTACTAATTTCTTCAAGTATAACTGATTTCCTAAAAGTTTCATATTCATTAACCCAACTTGTTGCAGATTTAACAGTTTGATCCGCCTTAGTACGACGTAAAATATTATAAAAATTATCAAGTGTTTGATTTAGTAAACCGTGACGATGCGACCGTATTTGTCGTTGACGACGAATCACTCGAGATGATTGATTTATGGAAATGTTCGAAGCAGGTCGTGATGACGTTTTAGTAGATTCGTATATCATTTTTTATTTTTTTTTTTTTTAGAAATTTCATGTAAAATTGAAATTTAATGAATTACGATGGAAATTTCGAAAAAAATAATGAATATTATAATATAATTGGGTTCAAAGGCAAATAGGATTTAGATGTTTTTGCAAAGTTTCTGAAGGCAAGTGATATGACATCTTTTTTCATTGGTTGAATTTTTTTTTTAATATCGAGCTCATCAAATGATGAGATAAAATGATGCGAAAGGCAATTTAGTGAAAATAAATATTAAAAAAAAGGCCGCTAAAAAAACTGGATTGGATCAAATCCAATGAACATGTGGTGTGATTTGAATACATAAACATTCCATAGTTGAAGATTCAATGAGCTCGGTTGGTTGCTTTAATGCACGCCGATTTCTTTATGAAGTTCTAGTGCATAAAGTTTCTTTTTTTTTTTTATCAGAAATCGGTCATGTTTTAAATGAATTACTTATTAGAGCAGTCTTAATGACGATCGTTAGCAACTCTATTTTTTTTTAACCCATTTCTGAACGAATCAAAAAACTCACGTATATAAAAGGTAATATTAAAATGTTAAAGGTTCAATCCTAATACAATCAGATTTGTTATCGTTATTACAGGTTGATAACTATGAAAGTTAGAACATCGATAGCAGTACATAGTGGTGATCCAGATTAAAATGGACAAAAATAATTTATATATAGAATTATCGTTAAATCGATATTTTACGACTTAAAACTAACAACCACTAACTTTTTTTTTCTAATCAAAATTCTGATGTTTTTTTGATTTGTTGGATAATGCAAAACGAAGATTAGTCATGTCACAAGAAAGTATCGATCCCGTGATCTCCGAGCAGTGTTTAAAATTGCATGCAATTTTTTTTAATGTGCTGTGCAAGAAAAAATAATTCTATGCCTGTAAATTTTGATATATGTATAATTTTTTTAACACGCACACGTACAGTACGTTATGCGTTATTATGCCGCTTTTTTATTATTTCATCTCTAGGTTTTTCTTACTAGAAATTTACACTCTCGCGTTACCAACATTAAAAAAGTACACGGGGTGATTGAAAAGGTTTTGCACTTAGATTAATATCTCAATTATTTTTAAAGATACAATTTTAAAAATAATGTACTTATTACTGGAACATTCCATTGGGAATTACTGGAACTGGAAAAACATCGGACTTAACTGGATGGAATTGGAAGTATAACATTCATATGATTGGCTAATTCATGTCAATAAACCGTGATAATTGGCCAATCAAATCAGTAGGTGAAGTATTACTCATCATTATACTTATCGTTAACTCAGCATGACAAAGCTGCAAAAACTGGTTGCCTGTTTCTTGTGCAGTGTAGAGCGAAGCTTTTCCAAGTATAATTAGTAATCGGCAAAATCTATCAAAAGGTTCTTTACAAAATTTAAAGATGCTATACTTTAATGGCAAAATTCAAATTTGATTATATTTTCTTTTTAATAAAAAAACTGCAGGATAAATAAATGGCGCAGAATCTTTATTTATTACAGAAATGCGCACGGAAATTTGTAGAATTTGAATTTGTCACGGACGGAATTGGCTACTTATTGCCACAGAAAATCATATATCAAACTTTCACTATCACGTGAGGATCTCGTAAATAGAATGTTAGGTCAGGGACACGGAAAAATACCGTTTTGATTTGTAAAAAATTCATTTCGATATAGTAAAAAAATCCTTTTTATAGCGATATAAAATTTTACTCCTATTTATCTATACCGCAAGTGCTCCTTTTTCTTCGTAAG